TTAAAACTTCAGTAATTGATTGGAAAGCAGCATTCCACAGCTTCCACTGAAGGAGAGATTTCCACTTCCAGATTCCTTTCCCTCAATAATAGGTATTTGTCAGCCTGGATCACAGACCTCGACTGGGAAAGACGCTCCACCAAGTGGCTAAGCGCGGGGGGGGGGGGGGGGGGGAATGGGGTTGAGTGCATGCAATTTCTCTACAAGATGTAAAGCACCCTCCCAGCTGCTTCTTGTCCAGAGGGTGGTGGTAGAGCTGCAAATCTTTCTCTGGAGTCCTGACTCCCTAGGGAGCTGCCTGCCCCTCCACCCTGCTGCCCAGGGGCACCTGCCCAGACCAAGGAACAGAGGCCCTGATGATCTCCGTTGGCCCTGATCCTGCTGGATTATCTGGCTTGTTGCACACAAGTGCTTCCTCTCCTGCTCCCTCACCTCAATCGTTCTGCCTGATATTTCCTTCTGAATCTGATGCCTTCTCCTGTCCGTGCATCCCTTTTCCGCATGGGGTATCCATAGGAGACTGGGCCCTTTTAGGACACACTGACAAAGATTGTTGAGCACTGGCAAAGTACTTCTTTTTTCATTGCTTTTGGACTTTAAGCCTTGCACTGTCCTGGGTTTTGCCCTTGCATTTCAAGGAAAGGGTGCATCCACTGGGAAATCCCGAGTAGGGAATATGCTGAGGATGGGGATGACTTTCTTCAGTGGAGAAATTCTGGGCAATAAAAGGGTGAACACTGCTTCTTTTTCCTCACAGTCCCACCTCCCAAAGGTGCTTTCAAAACTTTGATAAATACATGTTGAATTGGTGTTATTTTACATGCTATTTTATTTTGCTTTCACAGCAAAATGAAAAAAAAGTCCTTGGCGTGCCCATCTGCTATGGGGTGTCCGTGAGTTGAAGCAAAACCATAAAACTCGTAAGATGCCAAGCCTGTCAAAGCTTTTGGTCCCATCTAGAAGCAGTTCTGTGCAACTGTTGTATACTGGCTTATCAGTGCACCTGTTTTTTTCAAGACTAAATAGCAGCTTAACATTTAAACACAATAAATGCAATCTCATAAATCTAAATTAGGGTTTAGATTAGGAACTCATGAAATGAATCATAAATTAGTGATAGCTTCTGCATTCCTTGATGCAAAGAGAATAATGGCTGTAGTCCCTCATTCAAAATGTATTTCATGTGAGGGGCCTCGCCCAACAGAGATTCACTGGGTGTACGTTTACACTGTCATCCCATTTCATATTTTCCTTCTGCATTTCAAACTAGCTTCCACATGGAGCAGAGGTGCCCCGGAGAAGATGCATAAGCTCTCCCTGCCTGGGACAGGCCATGCCATTTTAAGCTGCAAAGGAGAATGGAGAGATTGGGCTGGCCTGTAACTGCAGATGGCTCTCTGGAAGGGCTTTGGATCTGCACATGTGTGCAGCTTTCCTAAGCATTTCCAAGCACAGCCAGACTGTGGATCCATGTTGTGTTCTGGACATTATGCTTTTTCCTGAAGGCCAGCCAGTTCCAGGTTCAGCACCTCCTTGCAGGCATCGCCACCGGCCGAGCAGTGGCATCTCTCTCAACTTTCATCACTCCTGCCAAGCATCCTTCTCCTTGAAAAACCTCCTGAAATGCTTTCAGTACCTCCTCCATTGGCCAGGTAGCAGGATGGTCCACTGCTTCCTTTCTCTATGTTCCTCCACAAAAAGAAGGGACCAGGGCAGTCACCCCAGGTGGCTGATTTTGAATGTCATGTGAGAGCATGCAATCAGTAATGTTTGTTGTGTTTTTATTACTGGGTGGGGGCCTGAAAACATATCCAAATTACATCTATTTTTTTTCTTAAGTGCAATGCCTAGAGCTTTCCTTGATAATCAACTCTCAATAGCTCCTTCCCAACCCCCACTAGCATGGATCCAATTTCCCTAAATGAAACTCCAGCCAATCCTTCACTTCTCAGAATGTATGTTATCTTCCCTTGCTTCAGTTTTTCCATTATCTGCAGCTTCCAGGATGGCAATCCTGAGTGGGTTCCCACTAGCAGGAAAGGACTTTGCAAATTATTGCATAATTTGCATAATTACCCATGGCAGCTGTGCCAGTGGCTTCTGAACCATCCAAGAACCCTAGAAGTAGCCTCCAATTGTGGGGCGGTTTGGAAGCCAGTTCTCCTGTCCACTTTACCAGGGCCAGATGACATGGCAACCAGCACCTGGAATGGGTAATCATGGGGACGAGATGGTGTAACTAGCATGGGTGGAGAAGGGAAAAGAAGTCGCTATGGAGTCTTCTCTCCCCCCGATTCTGCAAACATGACCACTGCTTCAGGGACTTCCACTGACGTTTCTTCTGGAGAGATCTCTGACTGAATTCCCGCGGGCGTTGACTTCTGCTGGCTGTGTGAGGGTTCACCGCAATCTCACAATACAGTCTCCTGCCTCCCAATGCCACTAGTTGTGGAAGTCCAGGTCTCTCAGACTGGCTTCTTCCTTCCCGGCTCTGAGCACTGCTCGCTTCAGCTAACAATCCTTACCTCCAATTCTTTGTTACCCATTAGTTCTAATTAACCTTCCCAATGAGAAGAGCCTCCTGACATCTTAACACATCCAATCAGCTCCATGTCATCTACCCAAAGTCATCCTCTTTTAAATAGCTTGAAGCCTGCCTTCATTGGCCTTAATAACCAAAGCAACTGTTTTTGGCAAAATTCTGAGTTAAAAAGGTCAGAATGGCCTACTCATTTACATAATAACCTCTCAGGGGTCACCCCAAACATTTAAACGTATCAGAAGGTAAACAGACAGATAGGACCAGCATTTCTTCATAAGCCTAGAGTGAAGCCTGACCCTTGCATACCCTTTTCCTACCACATGGGGAGGAACAATAGAGATTTGAGTCCTGCACACTCTAATTTTGGCTTCTGAAAATTAGGACAGTGGTCCCAATATTTACCCACCACCTACAAAGTAAAAACAGGGATTGGAGCCCGTTGTGCCATTTCCTGTTCTTTTAATTCCCTGCCTCACCATGCCTGGGCTTCCCCCACATTCCCCGAAGCACAATCTACTTGTGTTTTAGCTATTTCATAGTAACATAGAAACAGAGCAAGTCAGAAGGGGCCTCCCAGGTCATTCAGTCTGACCCCCGGCTCCAGCCAGCTCCGCTCAAGACATGCCCACCATGTGCATGTCCAGGCTATCTTGGAACAGCCTCACCAATGGGGCCTCAGCCACCTCGCATGGAAGCCCATTCCACACCCTCGGGGTCCTAACTGTCAGGAAGTGCTTCCTGGCATCTAAATGGAACTTTGGTTCCCTGAACTTTGCTCCATTGCAGCGCGTCTTTCCCCCCTTTTTGCTCAAATTTAAGTGCTGGGCCCTAATATGGATCAGGACAATAGAGCAGGAGGGCTTGGTCATTACAACTGGATTCCTTTTTCACAATGCAAATTGGGGGCACAGGGAACCTGATCCAGACTAGGACCACAGACGGGGTGGGCAGGCAAAGTCCCTTATCTCCTGCCCAATGTCATGATCCCAGTTTGAGTAGTAACATGACATCTAACTTGTTGAAGCCACATTCCACAGCTGAAGGAACAGGCGCTGTCCACAGAATGCAGCAGATTCCTGTAAAAAACCCCAGAGCAAGAACCATTCTAGCCTTAGAGTGAAACTGAGCTCGCCAACGTTCCTTTGCCAGCCATCACTGCTAGAGGCTTTCACGGGGCAGGACACATGAAGAATTTTGAACTGCTGTGCAAAACCCCTCCAAAGCAACCAAATCCACATTTCAGCAAACCTGAGGAAAATGCATTATTATTTAATTAAATTTCTATACTGCCATTTAGCCATAAAAGGCTCTTTGGGAGTTTACAAAAAGGATTAATGCAGTATAAATAATACAATAAAATACAATGTAAAACAAGGTACAAGAGTTCAAAACAATTTACAGAATTTATAAAATTCCTAAAGCAGTAACAGCAATACCAAGACTTAAAATCAGACAATCTGTTACCAGCATGCAGCCTATTTGCACCAACCATCCTCCCAACCGGCCAATGGCAAGCAGCTCAGACCCAACTAGGCCCTTCTTTGGTGGTTTCCTTCGGCCACTGCCCCAGACCGCCACCCCGGGCGGAAGGTATCTGAGGAAACAGGCCAGCATGGTGGAAGGGCCCGTCTTGGAGTAGCCGCCCACAAGTGGACTCAGCTGGCGTGCCATCGCGCTGCTCCTCTTCCCTCTTTCCCAGCACTCCGTCGGATCAGTCCCTGTCACCAACCAACCTGGGACTGTCTTGATGGTCCCTGGGGTAAAGGTCTCTCTTTCTTTACTAAAATTTGTAAGGAGATTTGTAAGAAATATATGCTATCCTGCAGACTAGAGGCAAAGGGGCTGATGTGTCAAGCTACACCTGTTGTACCTGTGACAATTTTTATTAGAGCAGTTTGAAATTTTTCCAACTGTAGACTTTATCAATGCCAAGTTGCAAGTGATAAGCTTAATGGGTGTCATTTTCATAAGCCATAGAAGTCTGAACTTCGTAACAACACAGACTGTTGGGGAGGGTCACTTACCTTAATCTTATGTTCCTTTAATTTAAATTCTTGTCGTGACTAGTAACCTAGTTACTAATAGCAAAGTCCTATTCATATCTTCTGAGAAACAAGTCACACTGTGTTTAGTCAAACTCACTCCCAGGTTAGCAAGTACAGTTTTGTTTACTTCCCAAAAGACACAGAAGTAAAAGACAATTTCCTTAAGGAAGATTTTTACCTGGCACCTGAACGATAGTTATCCAAATGCACACAAGAATCCCTACCTAAGCAAATGCACAAGTCGTAACAGAACAGAATCATACAGTCCTTGGAATCTTCATAAATAGGAGGCTATAAACAGGCATTGGATATCTAAGAACTTGCTTATTCTGAATAACAAATGGAGGTAGACGGCTCTACTTGCGTTACAAATTCTTCTGACCAATATGCTGTTTAGTAATTTACGGAAGATTTTATGGGCAATCTTTATCTAGTATCACTGGCGGGGTTTGTTCCAATGCCTGCCTGCCACAAAAGCCAAAGAACGTTAAGAACACAGGAATGAAAATGAGACCATGAACAGCCCCAAACAAGATGACTAAAAACATTATCTTAAAAAAGGTTCTGAAAATGTATGAGGTTGCTGAAGACAACATGGCAACTCCCAACAGAGTAGAAAGAGCTCCCTGCAAAACAGGGTACCCAAGATGATACAGGGCCTCCACTGCCTTATCATTCACTTCGGATTTCTTACTGGCCACAAAGGAGTAAGAAATATGAGCAGAAAAGTCTACAGAAAACCCAATGCAAATAACCAGGTTGATCATGGATATGGAATCAAGACTGACATCCCAATAGGCCATGAAACCGGTTACACCCACAATAACAGATGCAATGGCAAAAGTTACCCACAGTGAGCAGAGAGGATTGGGAATGAGCAGCAAGGAAATAAGCAGCATGGCTCCTGTAGCTATTGCAACATTTTGAATAGTATTCTGGATTATTACTAGATACTGATCAAAGTATATAAAAGCTGGATGATAGACCATTAGTGGTACCCTGCAGTCTTCAGCAAGGCCTCTCAGTTGATTTAAGAGATTTTTCTCATCCACTGCACTAGAAACATTGACTGTCTGTATGAAGAACCGTGAGGCTGGTATTTCTGTACCACTAATATTAATATCCCACTTGGATGCTGGATTTACTGTAAAAAGAAGAGTTAAATTGTTAATGAAAATTGTGTGGTCATTTATATTTAAAGACATGTTTTTAGCAAGAGTTTCATAAATTCTCAACCATGATTCTGAAAAATTTTTCTCCACATAGGAAGAGTTTTCTAAAGTTTCCAGACAGTTTTCAAGATCTGCACGGACAGATGAATTCCAATATGGTATGCTTTCAGTAACAATGACCATAACCCTTGGACCATACTCAGAAAAATATTCCTTTTCCCAATCATAATATGGAATGATGTAAGAATTATCTGTAGCGAGATTGCGAAGATCTATACCTTCTTTCACTTGAGTGCACCCATAAATACTACTGCCGAGATATACGAGATACAAGAGAACCACAAACGCTTTGGTCCAGTTGTGCATGAGGAAAGGGCCATAATGCTTTCTAAAGAATCCATTCATGGGATGCTCAATCTCTACTCCAGTGGACTTATCAAAAAATCCCCCCACACAGCAGGCATTATATGGACAGCCCTGAGCATCCTCACTCTCCTGTTTCACTTTCATGTAGGTGAGCCAGTGCCTGTTGCTTTCTTCTCTTCTTCCATTCAAAGCAAGAACAGCCCCGAGAAACGTCAGGTTGTATATGTAGCAGAAGATGAAAGCAGTCCCTGTGTAGAGGCAAAATGACTGAACAGACTTGAAGGAAGTTGCAATTCCAATGTAGAAGGATAAAACATCTGTGAGAGTTGTGATGGTTACTGACACGGCTGCCTCTTCATAGGTTTTGCTCATCCGTTTTTCGACGTCATCATTTACTCTAGTCTGTTGCCAGCAAGACACCATGATGAACATGTCATCAACACCTACACCTGAAGCAGAAAAAAACATGTAGCACATTTTTAATTAGAAAAATGGAATATATCTGATGAAGTGGACATAATCTCTGAAAACCTGTGCCCTAACACTTTCACTAGATTTCAAGGTGTCACAAGACTCCTTGTAGTTTTTAGTGGAACAGATTTAACTTTGTTCCCCCTCTGGAATGTGATACAGAAATCGGACCTTGCTTTGTAATTAATGCTACTCATATTTGGGATAGAAAAGAATGGGCCAAAGTCTGCACTTTCCCCTAGTTTTTCAGATCAAATTTTACTTCATTACCAGTAAAACGGGACGGGCTTCTTTTAATCCTTAAATTTTATCAGGTAGTAAAACCCAATCTACCCTGGCTCCATGGGAACTTTATACATGTTGCCTGAAATATCAATGAACATGCCATTAAGCGAATTGCACTGCAAATTGAGGACTGTATACATCATTGTATGCCAAATGGTCGTGGAGGCAGTGTGGGTGGGCAAAGCTGCCCAAGGAGAAAAACACAAAAAACTTTGCGCAAGTCCTGATCAGATCTTCAGGCTGCAGCCTATGTCTGCAACTGCCGAACAACCCTAGATTGAAATTCTGATCCAATTCTGAACCTCAGCAGAACTTAATCCATTGAAGTCAAATTCTCACTTACTGCTGATTGTCATACGTAACTGAGGACAAAAAAAAAAAAAATGTTCTGCAAATATAAAGGGTCCTCTCCCTTAGCACATTCCACTTCAAAATATACTCAGTTAGAAACTGGATCCAGATTTAGGCTCCCCAAATGGCCATTTTAATGGAACATGCAGTGGACAACAAGCGTGCACACACCCACATGCCTCTCAGTTGGTTATGCATGTTTTAGCTCAAGTGGCAAAGTGAGGCTTGCCTTCAGGGAAACAAGGAAGCATACCATTTTGCTAATGGAAACAACTGCATGCTAGCTGCCCCAAAGTGCATGCTTAGGGTGAAAAAATAAGCTGATATTCTGCTGCTTGAATACTATAGAAAGCAAGAAGAACGAAAGTTACCACTAAGGAGTTAAGAACAAATGGGTGGAAAAATGACCACTGTATCTCTATCTATATGTATTTGTTTCAGAGATGCAATAATATATATTAACTCTAAAGGTTATTTAGACTGGGATCAGCAGGCATGAAGTTTGCAGGTTCTCTTTCTTTCTCTCTTTTTTCCTTTTTACTGGAATACTGAGATCCATCAACTGGAGCTCTGTGCAAACAGTAGTGGCTCAGGCAAATGGGCAAAAGGAAGGAACAGTGCGCCTCTGAACAGATGCTTAGCCTGGAAGTTAGCCTGGAAGCGATCACCAACCAAAGCCACACTTGTAAGTCCTTTCACTCAGAACTCTACTACTTGACCTTTCCCCACCCATTCTTTTTCAGCAACCTCATTTGTGCTGCTGGAGTGGGGTAGGTTTTCAGTTGTTGATATTATTAGTCAAACCTTGCATAGAGATGTGAAGGCACAGAAAAAAAAATACCTGAAGATCCAAAAAAGCCTTTTTTATTTTTTTTCCTGAAGCCTTTTTTGTTTCCCTGTTTTTTTTAAACTTGATTATGGAATATTTTCTTTCAGAATGTGTGAAAAGTTTCAGACAATGTTTTCTTATATTTGCTCCCCAATATGTTGTATAAAAATAAATGATTGATAGACAAGGAGAAGAATTTATAGAATAAGTAAAAGCTACTCATATTGTAGCTATAGTTTTCAAAAAAGGAAGAAAAATGCAAAGAATTAAATACTGACACTGAAGCTCTGTAGTAATAATTCATGGGCTGAAACAGGGATCTCCTTTGAAAGTTTACTAAAAGGCAAAAAAGCTGTTCGGGCCTCAATAATTGCTGAGAATCTTGAATTACTCAGAAATGCAAGGAACACTGTATCTTATGTGGTTGTTTTCTGGGCTCAGCAGCAGAACTCTTAAAGCTAATGTCTTTTGCAACCATTGCATCTGACCTAAACAAGCGCACTTTTGTAAGAAAGCCCTTACCCAATAGCCAAGATAAAAATAACTGCTTTGAGAGTCTAAGTATATCTCTATTTACAAGTACTGAAGAAAGTGGAAAAACAAGATTCTGTTAATAAATTGGAAGAACTTTGTTGCCATCCATTGGTGGGATCTGAGAGCCAAAGACAGAAATGTAAGTGATGGTAACACTGCGGCTGTATTTGACTGGATTGCTGAACAAGTAGCATGCTTAGGACTTGATGCTGGGAAGGATCATCAGAATGTTGCAGAATGCAACGCATCTTCAGAGATTTAGTCCAGGTTTGCCATCCAGGATTTTGCAAAACATGCCCTTCATGCAATATGGGGACAAGGGACAGCACAGCCTCTCCGATGCCCCTTGCTTCCCACATAATCCCCCCCACCCAAATACCCATTTTTTATATAAATTGGTTTCTCCCATGGCTTGAGAATGCACCCAAAAATTTCCAAAAACTGTTTATGTCTGTCCTTGCCAATCTATTGCAAATCACCCAGAGATTCAGATTTATCTCCCGGTCAGTCCTGATTCATAGGTACCTTTATAAAGCTCAAGAAATAAGCACAAAGATGTCTATGCTTGCACACTTACCAAGTATAAGAAATGGTGCATTTGAGGCTGTGATGACAAATGGCACCCCACAAAAAAGCAACAATCCAAAGCTGCTGACCACGGATAAACCTGATGACACCACTCCAAATGTTGCAACCCACACTTTTGTTCGTACGCAGTCAACTCTATAAAAACAGGTTGTGTCCTATTTAGAAAACAGACCAAGTGGTGTGCATGTGCATGTTAACGAACAAAAGTAAATGAAGACATGCAGCTGTTGCATTTCAGAAATTCTCCATCATCATGAGACTCAGAAATGGTATTACTTTTTAGAAGCAAAAGCTCTTGAGCTATGCATGTGCCTTGCACTTGTAGTTCAGACCCTGATTCTAACTGCTGGTTTTAATCAAGTTTGATTTGTTGCCAGTTTTATCTTGGTTATATACTAAACTGTTTTAATGACTGTAGTTTATATTTTAATGGATTGTACATTACTTTGTGCAGTTTAAGGGTAAACTGGATAAATGGAGAAATACGCTGCATCTTCAAAGCAATTTCTCTGCATGAGGCTGTGAATTGCTTGGCTGGGTGGAGCTCTTTGTCCCAAGTATTGTGAGCTCTCTTAATGGCTTCCTGATTTATATAAGCTTACATTACTTGCTCCCGGAAGAACGTACATCTCTCACAGGTCTTGGGATGACAGCCCTGCCCCTAGCTGAATGGACCTGTACTGAATGAACTGGATCACCTCTTTTGGCGCACATCCCAGGGCCATCATGACTTGGATTTCAAAGAAGAAATCCTTGAAGACTCGGAGATGGGAGTTTTGGAAACTCAGGTAGAGAGACTTTTGAAGCACCCTCAAGGTCACTGCCAACAGATTCCCAGGCCAACCAGGAAAGTTTTGGAAGAGAGGGGAGAGGTCCAGGAAGGGGAAAGGGGAGAGCTGTTGCTTCGCCCAGTCCCTGATCGCATGCCGAGGTATCTGGAGAGACAAGTTGCCCAGTTAATGGGCTTATGTATACCTCACGGGCTGGCCCTTCAACAGTGGGGGCCACCCTGAAGGTGAAGTCTGTAGAGTTACTGAAAGGGAAGACTTTGAAGAAGAGTTCCCAGTTTGAGCTCAATACTCTTGACATGAGCAGAGGCTTATGTTTCAAGTCACTAGAGGGTGTTCAGAGTTAAGATGTCCTGTAGGTATAAAGTACCAATAAAGACCTGCACTGCAAAGATACTGTCTGGTATTTTGGAGCCTAAGGGCAAGACACAACTCTTATTTTAACTAAGGGCCAAGCTAAATCTGCTGTAATAAATGTGCTATGTCCTTACCTTTTGACATTTTTCTAGAAATAATTAGATTTGTAATGAGTACAGATCTTTTTAAGCTTTGGATACACACACACACACACACACACACACATTTCCTTTGCAGAAGTATTTTTTGCTCTTCAAATAAATGTTAGCCCTTTTCTATATTTTTGATACAGCTAGAATAACGTATGCATATTATTCATTAGGACTGATTACAAAGATGTGATTATGAATTTTCTTTTGCAGTTTCAACTAGCAAGACACACAAATGATCACCTGATGAATAAAATAATTATTTCCCCACTTGCTACCAAGGATTAAGGGAAAAAACCTACCTTGCACATGATATTATTGAAAAGAATATAGTTAAAAAGTATGTGATGGAAAACAAAGGTATCACTCCTTTGGTATTTTTTTCAAACTCTTCCTGTCTGGATAGTGAAGTAAAATAAGCCACCTGCAAGGAGCCGGGGGAGAGAAAGATGGCAATATATTAATACTTTTCTTTTGAAATATGTTTCTAGCAGGGCAATGCTATGAATATGCAATAAATTTCACTGAGTTCAGTGGAATTAAATAGCATGCCAAGATTGCTGCCTAAATGTGCTTAGCACATTTGAAAAACAGGATGTAGAAACCTCCAAAATATAATATATTACTTCTTTAGTAAAGTCTCCTGTACAGCAATCTGAAAAGGGGGAAAATCTAGAACCTTGTTGTTATCAAAGAAGGAAAAAGGGATGGGGAAAAAACAATATAGCACTTTTATCTATAGAACTACTTAGAAAGTCTGTGGTTGTTCCTGCTGTTTCTCTGACAGTGTGCTTTCCAATGCTGGGGCAGCCTTCTCAGCTCTGACGCTCTGGGTATGGATTTTGCTGCCCTAGAGGCCGTACTGGCAGAGCTGGCATCCATATGGGCGATCAACCAAGGGTGCAGCCCCCCATCTTGCATTCACACCCCCGAGTCCCCAGTTCTCGAAACATGCCACACACAAACGACATTTCAAACTGAAGGGCATTTTGAAAGCAGTTTCTTGATACAGCACTCGGGATCTAGGTATTTTGCACTAAGGCACTAATCTAAACCTGTTTCTCCCCAGCAAAACAGTTTGCCCGATGTAAAAAAACAATGCAGCGGGAAAACCATGAGGGGTTTACACGTGCAAGAGGACGTGTTCTGCATCCCCCATAAAAGTTTCATAAGTTCATAAAAGTGAAACGAGCGATTTCATATTAACCTTTCCAACGGGAATCGAAGCCCTTCTTTCTTTTCCCTCCACAGCTACATAGTGCCTGTTCCAAACGCTAGGAGACCTTCGTTTGGTGGAAGACCTCACTCACCTGGATGGAGCTGAGGTTCAAGGTCTCCAGGATGCCCGGGATGCGCTCCAGGAAGGCCTGCAGCCAGAGCTCGCTGGCCCGCTGCGACGCTTCGTCCTCCTGCAAGAAGTAGAAGAGCCGCAGCGCTTTGGCTTTCCGCACGGGGCGCGCCGGCCCGGCTCCGCGGCCCAGAGCGACGCCCCCCAGGAAGGGGCCCAGGAAGACGCGGCCTTGGAAGAGCGGGAAGGTGAGGGCCGGGAGCAGCATATCGATGCGCTCCGGGTTGCCCTGCACGGCGCTGAGCAGCGGGTTGGGGCTGCTGCAGGTGCCGTTGTTGCGCGCGCAAAGCGCGTCGTACGAGCGCTGCGGGGCGGCGGGGCCGGTGGCGTTGAGCGCTCGCACCGCCGCGTCCAGCGCCAGCAGCTCGGCGAAAGCCGCCCGGGTGAGCAGCGAGTCGCTGCCTGCGGGGGCCACGGCTATGAAGGAGGCGAAGGTGCCTTCGGTGGTCAGCCTCTCCGCGGAGAAGCGCTGGGCGTCGTCCGTCGGGAAGTGCGTTTGGACAAAGCGGCGCTCGCTTTTGGCCGGGCCGCCGACTGGTGTGAACTGGCGCTCGATGTTGTTGTCTTCGTTTTTGGAGAGGAACATGAAGCCGGTGCCCAGGGCGCCCGAGAGCACCAAGGGCACCAGCAGGAAGGGCCACGGGTGGGCGCCCACCAAGGCGCCGAGGGCTCCGAGCGCGCGCGACAGGGGTCGCTCCACGCAGTCGGTGTGGCAGCAGCCGTCCGGCATCTCCCTGCCTGCTCAGAAATATTAGGGCAGGGCTAAGGGAATAGCTGCCTCCGTTCTGACTATTCTTACGGAATTAGATCTTTAAAGTTAGTGGCTTTGCTTCCGAGTAAGCACTGAGAGAAAGGCGTCATCTCTTGCGCCTATTGCTTTAAATACTCTCCTGAAAGAATGCTACTGGCATAGGTTTCCCCCACCAGGCCTTATCTTAGTTACATGTCAAACAAGGGTGTCCATCAAAACACCTGTCTCCTTCCTGGAATAAGAGTGCATGAATAATGAAGAACTTCCCTATTACATTTTTCCAAACGGACATATTTATTATCTGCATATCAAGTCACCTGTTATGATCAAGTTGATTTATAACCTAAGGCAGATATGGCTTGGACTTTAATGTGAAGAATGGAAAAGTCCAGAAACTGAGCTTGCACCTTGGTTTGCCTTATCTTTATTTAAAGAACGTTGGTTTCTTTTGAACTGGCTACTTGTCGCACTGTAGTGATTAATTGATGAAGCCTGGGCTCCTGTATGCGCTTGGCTTACTTTTACCTAACAGAACCATAGATGATAATGTGAATGAGTCAGTAGAACTCAGTAGTAGCAGTCTACCAGCTTGCCCCAGTCAGTGACGATGCTTACCGGTGATACTGAGAGCAGCCCCATTCTTTCCAAGCATCCCTGTGGCTGTTTTTAGAGCTAGTGTAATGTTAGTTGGAAATGGCAGAACTAGAATGAAAGCTCCTATGAAAATTCTGCTATACCACATTGTCCCCTTGTAGCTGTGTAAGGAGAGGACAGAAAAAGAAAGTAGGGGAAAAGGAAAACATGTCAAAAGAAACAATCCTAGTTCTGCAAAGAATCTGGAAACAAGTTTTAGTAAAATGGCAAGTTAAAGCCTCTTTTAATCCTGGCCCTAACGCATGGGTAACAAACAACTAAACAAACAGGTGATTTGACATGGTAAGTAAACGAGAGAAAATTATAGTTGTTTAAATATTGGCACATAACCCTGCACTGAGACTGCAGCAGTTTTGAGTCATCATGTAAGCTGTTATGGTTGATGATTCTGAATTCTGCTTCCAAAACCTCAGTTATGCACTCTTCTGTATTAATCTGCTAATATGTTATCTGGATGGGATCTGTCCTAAACAGACTGGAGGAAAAGAAGTTGGATTAGTAGATCTACCAGACTTTTCTGAGAAAGTTAAGATGCAAACTCGTTCAGAAATACTGGCTGTTCTTTTCTATCTTTAAGACACATTCTGAAGGGTAGGATATAAATGCCAAAAGCAAAATAAAATAATATGGCTTAAATGAGAAAGGGTGAAGACGGAATTTACTGAATATTTATTTATTTATTTTCCATAAAACCCCTTATCCACAGGACATAACAAATCTGACAGGTACTTGGAGCTGAACCTGCAGTTTTGGCAGTGTCTTTAGCAGATATAACAAAGATGCTGCTGGGTAAACCAGATACAGAAATAACTGTTTTTAAAAGACCATTAGCTAGGATTTCCCCACACTACGTGGCAGGGGGCTCACAGGGGTACCATTCTTAGTGCAGAGTCACAGGCTATCAGTTACTATTGCTATTAATATTATTATTAGAAAAGTACAGTTTTAAAAATACAGTAGTAAGTAAATGTTTTATTCCACAAGATACAGAAGTAAGAGAGAAGCAGACTACAGAACACCTAAAACAGAGGCCAAAAGTTTTATTAGAATAAACTGGAAAAAAGAGATAACATTTCAACTCACTTTTAAAATTTTTGATCATATAGCTGAAGATATAGTTGGTCGCTATCATAGATGTCAGTATAATTGTTACCACCTGTACTGATATGCAGACCTTGTTATAATGCATTTTGGCCATCTCCAGTTTTCACTGGAGTAATTGTGGACATAAGGTGCAGGTATATTACTTGGAGTATCTTTGCTGAGAGTGGAACCCAGCTATTCATATGGCCACTCAATGGCTTTGCGTTATGGAAGCTTCTCAGTAATAGCTGATCTTTGCTGAGGATCTTCAATAAGCTTTCAGGGAACCCCACAACTTGCTGTAACAGAGGTTGCAAGCCATTGCAAAAGCTGGATCTGCACTATTATACCCTACACTTTTTGCATATGGCAAAGATTGCATGGGGAGGGGACACAGTATAGCCAACTGCTGAGAAAAGTAAGTATTTTTGAACAGGAGCATGAAAGAGAGAGAGACTGGGCCATTGTAACAAATATATTTGTAAAATTCGAATTTATAATATTGTCCTCTCTCCCCAGAAAAGCATCTTGTGTGAATAAAGACCAGAATTTTCAGCCCTTTTGTGGGTGAAGGCTGGTGGTTCATAACAGTGGAGGCAGCCTTCATTGCTTATTGTAAAGGCACATGCGTTCATCACAACGCTGCTGTAGAATGGAAGTGTGGCTTCTCCTTCAGTAGATTATAGAAACTGAGTTTTATTTTTGCTCTCTTAGTTAAGTCTTGTTCCATAGTGCCATCTAATGGCCTTTGTTCTAATGCAGGAACAGTGCAGTCTTCTTCAGCCTGGCATTCTCCAGACGCATTGAACTAAAACTCTCAGCAGGGTTGGGAATGCTAGAAGTTATAGTCTAGAACTCTGGAATGTATCAGATGGGGGAACACAGCTCTAACACACCCTCCTTTCTGAGGAGGAAGGGTAACACATAAACTGAGCAAAGTTAGAAGAAGAGTTTAGTGTAATCCTGTCGTATCCTTTGAGGGCCATGGTGGGCCAACTTTACATGTGGAATTATTTTGTGTGGATGACATTTAACCTGGTTACGAATATAAGAACAGCCTGTGTTGAGCGCTTTTGAGTTTGTTGAACACCCTATTCTGCCAAATCATATATTTATCCTCTTGTTCCCATAAGGGATAGGGCACAGTCTCAGCTAAGGTTATGAGCTTATGAGTCATAAAAGCTTATGAGGAGAGCAGAGCCAAGACCCTTCCAGATCTAGGCTTGGATTCCAATTGCCTTATACAGTTTTCAGACCTTACTAGCCCTTTCTCCCTTATACTCCATCAACCTTTCCCATCCTTTCTCTGGAAAATCTTTCCCTCTGCTTTCCCAGACATAAGTTGTGTTAAGGCTGTAGCAAGGATACAACGGCATCAAGCAATCCTCGCCTCCTCCAGTTGCTCAAACCAACTGTAGCATCCCAAGCACAAGAAACCTGAGAAACAAAAAGGATAATATCATGTTGGCAAAAGTGTAGAAAAGTGTAGAAAAAGGGCACCCAAACTGACCATGGACCCAAAGCAACTTTCCTATGAGGAGATGTGTTAATATTAACCTGTTTTGCTATTTTGCTTAAATAAAGGCTAGAAATAAGGACATGCTTGAATGTCTACAATTATGTTGTGGAGTGGGTTAATTTTACCTATCTCATGATGCTGGAATCTAATGAAACTCAATGGTGGGAAATTCAGGAGTACTGAAAAGAGATACTTCTTCACCCGGTGCATAGTCAGACTATGGAATTCACTCCCACAGATGTAGCGTTAGTCATCAATACCTCCTGAAATTGCACATTTTTGGCTTACAATTAATTGCAATTAATTGATTTCAGTAAATTGTATTTCAGTTTACTGCTTCTTGTACTGATTTTTATTACAGTGGTTGTAATTATTTAAATTATGTATTTCAAAGTTTTAAATATTTATATGTAGAATGCTTAGAGAGTTTATTATATTCAGAGGCATATAAGTATAATACATACATAAATGTTGGGTGTGTGCCAGTGCTCAGGTCTGGAAGAGACAGTGTTCAACTGGCAGCCAAATATTCCTATTGATTGGGTCTACTTGGGAGAAGGCAGCAAACGTCATATGTATTCTGGCTTCTGGCTTTGAGCAGCTCTGGGAACAGGTGGGGCTATTAGGCTCTCTATAAAAGCAGTCAATGACAGCCTTATTTTTCCTGACTGGAGCAGGGAAACTACCCCCTGCAGTGATCTTTGACCATGATCCAAAGGACATGACCACTAGTTAAACACTGCAAGGGCTTCCTTGCACCTGTGCTTCATGGCAAACTGCTCGACTTTGAAATGGATGGGGTTTCCAAAGCAACTTGGCATTGTAACAGAACAGGGAGCAGAGGAAGGACTGACTACTGAAGCTGCAGCTGGAGAAAGTCAGTTAGAAATAAGACAGTAGCCCTCCAGAGGTGCGGCAGGCAAGCTGTTACATTTGCCATCAGATTAATTCGTTTCATGTGCAAACAGCAATAAAACTAAGTATGCATAGAATCAAAATTGTGCATTTGTCAAAGAAAGACATGATTGAACAGCCCAGTTTGTTTTCATTCATAGCCACATATCAGGACTGACAGGCTGACATGACAGGCTGCTCAGACTCTGATTCGGAGAAGTGATACTTGCCCTCCGTCCCCTTGATTTCAGTGGCACATGTTTGGTTCAGTGGAATGCCAGTGTTCACTCAGAGAAATGAAACAACCACACGATGGCACCAAACAACTTGAGTATGTGTGGTATTGGTCAAGGTTGTTTTGTTTCTTCAGTCAGACTCCGTCTTTCTACAAAGAGTTATTCATGAACAAAAAGAAAAGAAGGACAAAATGATGTCACAGTACAAGAACATTACTTAGTACAGTTCTGGAACTTGTCATGGTACAATTTTCTTCTTTCCAGCTTTGAAAAACAAATGCTGGTTCAGCTACCATATTGCTTCAGCTCATTCCTTGAAGCTTTTTTAGTTATTTGAAAGGTCCAGCTGGCTAAGGGAGAAGATTGGGAATACTGTAGTCAGAGGACTATACCTATCTTTAGCTGTTGTGATGAGATCAAAGTGTCAGTGAAGAGGAGTCTCACACCAACGAAGCAGAGGAGCAGGCAACAAATAAAAAGGGAGACTTGCAGTATTGTAATGGTCCAGCGGGGATATTTTGAGAGAAAATATTGCTAAAATCAGTGGCTTTTAACCCACTTTTTATCCATTTTTCTGGGTTTAAGATTTACAA